ATGCTTGGTATACCATTTCTTGAAATTGCTGTTAGAAATTAGTTGACATTTGGTATGATTTAAAACGTCTTTCCAATGGTTGCTTAATTTGAAACCATCCTCTCGGTTGAAGTTATGTCTATGTTTGTATATCTGAATGGCTTCATGGACAAATCTCTGGTGATAACCTGTAGGTTTACAGAGAACCTTGGTATCGGAGAAGACAATCTCATTATCACCCATAGCGTTGTAACAATGATCAGCCACCGCAGATGAATTCGTTCTGCCGTGTTTCAGATCTGATTTGTGCTCGCGAATTCGGTCAGAGATATATCGTTTCATCTCTCCGATATAGCAATCACCGTAGGTACAACTCAATTTGTAAACTCCGGGGTACTGTAAGTCAGGGATGACATCCTTCACGGATGGGATCAGGTCACGGATTTTGTGTACTGTATTGAACCGGACCAGGATCTTGTGTTTGTTTAGAATTTTGGAGATCTTTTTAGTAACGCCTGCTATATATGGTAGTGTGATGGTTTTGACCGGAGTATCAAGTGGTTGTTTCTGTATGGAGGGAGAAACAGCTTGGCGGATGGTACGGTCAGAGTATCCGTTTCTCTTGAGGGCCAGGTGTACATGTTTTAATTCACTGGTCAGGTGGTGTTGGTCCGAAATCCAATGAGCCCTGTGGTATAACGTTTTGATGAGAGAATTCTTTTGAGCTGGGTGGTGGTGGGAATCAGGCTTCAAGTAGGAATCTGTGTGGGTGGGTTTCCTGTAGACAGAATGCCCCAATGAGCCATCAGGTCTCCTCTCAAACAGAACATCCAAGAATGGTAGCTTGCCATTCGCGAGCACAAATCAGATCTGAAACACGGCAGAACGAATTCATCTGCTGTGGCTGATCATTGTTACAATGCTATGGGTGATCATGATATTGTCTTCTCCGATACCAAGGTTCTCTGTAAACCTACAGGTTATCACCAGAGATTTGTCCACGAAGCCATTCAGATATACAAACACAGACATAACTTCAACCGAGAGGATGGTTTCAAATTAAGCAACCATTGGAAAGACGTTTTAAATCATACCAAACGTCAACTAATTTCAAAACAGCAATTTAAAGTAATGGTATACCAAGCATATTCCTTCCGAACTTTCTATTACACCCTTTTTTCTACTCTCCCCTGACAGCACATTCTTGCCGATCTTTAATTGTTTTCCGTTTCTATTGCACACACACAGTGACCCATCCTCCACACCCTCTACACATAAACATGCTAATCCCCCAGCTAATTTTCTGACTTTAACACCCTGCTGCTTCAACACTTTAACACAGCTATTTTTGATATGTAAACTCCTTTGTCAAGGCGCCGTGCTCCTCCCATCGAGCTTAAAAGGCGCTGTGAATCTTAGCAGCGGTCATTGACGTGCTGTCGGCCCGACAGTTCTGTTCCTTCACCTGAAGGCCACTTGAGTTGTTGCCGAAACGTCGTGATTTTGTTGTTTTATTTTTCACCTACGTGACTTTATCGAATAGAACCACAGCGTATGGATCCTTGCAGTCATGAAAGCTTCAAATCTAGAATACTGCCTCTACTTGACTACTGTGACATCGTGTATAAATCAGCCCCAAGTACTGTACTGAAGAAGCTTGATTCCATCTATCACTCGGCCTTAAGATTTACATTGAACTGCCCATATAGGACTCACCACTGTGATCTCTACATTGAGTCAAACTTAACATCTCTTAATGTTCGACGGCTTGTGCACCAGATCTTATTTATTCACAATGTACTTACAAAAAAATCCGCAGACTACCTGTTGGATCTCCTCTGTTTCAAAGAACAAATTTGACCTCAGGTCTTCGCTCATTTACCAGCTTCACATTCCCTATTGCCGTACAATAAGGGCCTTTGCTATTGATACCCCCAGGGTCTGGAATGCTATTGCCAATAAACTGCAACTTGAATCGCTACCAATGAGATCTTCTCTCAAAACTGCTCTAGAGGAGTTGTACACCCCTAGCTGCCACTGCTATTCATTGGCGTAAAATAAAATAAAATGTTTCGCTCCAGATGACGCTGTAAAGTATTATCTGTATTTTGATTTAGCGTGCTCTTAAAGGTGCATTAAAAAATGTGATACTCCGACTGATGCTTCTGTTGTTGTGGAGTAACTCATGCAGCCAGCTATGGCTCTAGGATTTGGTGTTACATGTTATTTATGTAGTTTATTGTAAAAAATTCGGTCACAGTCCCTATGATCACTGTTACATTACAATGATGGCTTTATTTTTTGGTGATTTCTTAAAGTTTTTTGGTTTGGACGTTTGTTTTGTTGTAGTACGGAGTTAGACTATGGCCTTAATCTAAGTTTTCTTGTGGTTGTTGTTTGACTTGCATCCCACTGGGATTTTTGCACACAGCGTTGGTGTACGGTGCTTTTTCAGGAATATTTTGCTGTTTTTTTTCATGGATTTTCTGTTTGCACAGTCACATAGTCACTTTAAGATCTTCTTTGGTTCTTTCGGTAAAGTCACGTAGAATGAGAATAAAATAATAGATTGATAAAATAAAATAACACAATAATATTCTCACGACGTTTCGGCCACAACACAAGCGGCCTTCATCAGGTGAAGGGGGCGAGACTGTCTGGTAGGACAGCGCTGGAGTGAGAGAGCCACGTTCAGATCACGGCTTTTAAGCTGTGTGAGAGGAACAAAGAGCCTTGACGAAGGAATTAGCATAAAATTTAGCATTGAAATGGCTGAATGATTAGCTTGTGACTGGTCACAGAAATAGCTATGTTAAAAGTTAAAGCATACACATCCGCAGAGGCACCCATTGTTAAAAGGAATTAGCATAGAATTTAGCATTGAAATAGCTAAGTTAAGGCATACACATCCGCAGAGGCACCCCTTGACAATGGGATTAGCATAGAATTTAGCATTGAAATGGCTGAGTGATTCGCTTGTAACTACTACAGAAATAGTTACGTTGAAGTCAGAGCATACACATTCACCGAGGCACTTAGTACAAATCAAACAGGAGAATTTAGCATTGAAATAACTAGGCGAATTTAGCATTGAAATAACTGGGTGATTTGCTAGTGACTGGTCACAGAAATGACTACACATCTGAGCTATTCACAGTACTATATAGTGAACCAATAAAAACTAAAATATAAATTACCTTCATGTTATCAATAAACTCTATATTCTCCAATCAGCTAAGCTACCAACCATAAGTCGTTATATATCACAATGCTATATGGCGAAAAAATGGGTGGATTCTTACCCTCAAATTTCCGTACCACGGATAGCTACGGGCCCTGTTCAGACGGACGAGTTCGTCCATGGTCGGAACAGAGGAGGGGGAGAGAGACAGCTGCGTGATTTAGTTCCATCTGTAAAAGATGCTCTTCCAGACATACAGTACCCGGGCGTTTACAAACTAAAGTGCCTCTGTGGTAGTAGCTACATTGGAGAAACCAAAAGACATATCTCGGACCGCATCCGTGAACATAAAGCAGACTTGAAACACGGTAAGACGAACTCCTCTGCCGTGGCAGATCACTGTTACAATTCAGTGGGCTCACATGACATTGACTTCTCCAAGACGGAGGTTCTTTGCAAACCAACTGGCTACCATGAGAGATTCGTTCATGAGGCCATTCACATATACAAGCACAGAGACAATTTCAACCGAGAAGATGGATTCAGGCTTAGTAACCACTGGAAAGATGTGTTAAATCATTTCTGTTCTTAATTAATTGTAATTTTACGATGACCTTCAGACCGCAGCTCTTTCGCCAGCATTGCCTCTTAATACCTCTCACACCACGGTTAATGGTATGGTTTACAACATGGAGTATACTAGGGCTTCGCAGCTGTCTCTCTCCCCCTCCTCTGTTCCGACCATGGACGAACTCGTCCGTCTGAACGGGGCCCGTAGCTATCCGTGGTACGGAAATTTGAGGGTAAGAATCCACCCATTTTTTCGCCATATAGCATTGTGATATATAACGACTTATGGTTGGTAGCTTAGCTGATTGGAGAATATAGAGTTTATTGATAACATGAAGGTAATTTATATTTTAGTTTTTATTGGTTCACTATATAGTACTGTGAATAGCTCAGATGTGTAGTCATTTCTGTGACCAGTCACTAGCAAATCACCCAGTTATTTCAATGCTAAATTCGCCTAGTTATTTCAATGCTAAATTCTCCTGTTTGATTTGTACTAAGTGCCTCGGTGAATGTGTATGCTCTGACTTCAACGTAACTATTTCTGTAGCAGTTACAAGCGAATCACTCAGCCATTTCAATGCTAAATTCTATGCTAATCCCATTGTCAAGGGGTGCCTCTGCGGATGTGTATGCCTTAACTTAGCTATTTCAATGCTAAATTCTATGCTAATTCCTTTTAACAATGGGTGCCTCTGCGGATGTGTATGCTTTAACTTTTAACATAGCTATTTCTGTGACCAGTCACAAGCTAATCATTCAGCCATTTCAATGCTAAATTTTATGCTAATTCCTTCGTCAAGGCTCTTTGTTCCTCTCACACAGCTTAAAAGCCGTGATCTGAACGTGGCTCTCTCACTCCAGCGCTGTCCTACCAGACAGTCTCGCCCCCTTCACCTGATGAAGGCCGCTTGTGTTGTGGCCGAAACGTCGTGAGAATATTATTGTGTTATTTTATTTTATCAATCTATTATTTTATTCTCATTCTACGTGACTTTACCGAAAGAACCAAAGAAGATGAATCATTGCAGTCACGAAAGCTTTAAATCACTTTAAGATGTTTTCATGTTCGTGTTTTTTGTTTGTTGTGGTTGCACTCGATTCAAGAGCCGAATGGCTCACAGGGCTATACCAAACATGTCCAAACCAAAAAACTTTTAGAAATCACCAAAAAACTGAAAACTGAACTGTGTTGTGTGTGAGATGCTGCAGCAGTTGTTTTAAGAAATCGCACGCGTGATGATATGTACAACGGTAAGAAGTGACAGACCTACACGAGCTTGCGTTGCCTCAAGTTGTCACGAGTTATTGCCAGCCCTTTGTCGGTTGACCGCTGAAGGCCTCGGCATGGTGTGAGGGGAGTTGACCGTGCTGCGCGTAGATCATTGTGGGCCAAGGAGCGGGGGAGACGGGGTCGAGGCAATGATGCGAGCCGTGATCGTCAGGTTCACAGCACAGCGCACTAACCACGGCGCCACCGATCCCCACCCGTGAGTAATGTACGTGCACATAATGCAGGATAGGCATTTTGTCAATCCACTGCTGGATGAGGTTCCTCCCACGCTGGGAGTTATTTGATCAGACTGACCAAGCTGGTCAGTGCGAGTTGGAGTAAGCGGGGAGCATAGAAGTACAGTCCTGTGCAATGGATGTAGCTGCACTGCCCCCTGCTGCCCACAACCCTGGCTCCGCAGCCTATATCACCTGTGGCGGTATCCAGGCCCGTTACTGGTTAGCTCTCACGATCCGAAGAGTTCGGGGGCGTTCCGGGTGATTTGTTTACAAATATAAACTTCACAGTGATCCCAAGCAGACACATTTGAAAAAGTATTTAAATATAGTAGTTAGATACCTCACCCAACTTTGGAACAAAACACAACATGACATGAATATAATTTCAAATATGTAACAATGCACGTTGAGGTTTTTTTTATGTTACTGTAATAACGTTCTAGATTGTTCAAACAGGCTAGTTACCATCTAGAACATGATTAACATTCACACAACCATAATTTCCCAATTACTAACAATTATCTTAGAAGAGATGGGAGGGGGGTCAACATCACACATCGCACCTTGACCGCTCTGCCAGTCAGCAATGAGTGAGCAAATGCCTTGCAATTCCCTAACGCCCCTCCGTTCATTTTAAAATCGCGTTACGGGGCCTTTAATCCGCTCCCTCTCGCGCCCCGTAGGGCCTGAGCGTGACGTCACTCGCGCGTTGCCTACAGTAGTGCGCGTGTTGCCTACAGTGCATCCACGTGCAGCCCACCATGGTGAAGCCGCAGTACAAGGGGAGGAACACCATCAACCCGTCCAATGCAAGCTCCAACCCAGGTGACGCTCTCATCGCGCAGCCCCGTGTCCCCGAGTCCCGTGGCACCAGTTGCGGAAGCTTCCCGAGAGCGGGGAGACAGCGGCGACCAGTAGGCCCCAAGCATACGCTAGCAAATGCGACAGTCCGCTAACCCGCATATTTTACGCGTGCGCATATTACGTTTAACACGAAGGTTTTCGCGCCAAATATGCGCAATTGTTACGACGATCCAAAGTTACCGATGATACTTTGAGGTTTCTGTGTGAATGGAGGCGCGCGATGTAACGCGAAGTTGCCCTGGCGGCGTTTATGTACACTAAGCTACACCAAAATACACGTGGACCTAATATGGAGTGGACGGGAATCGTCTATGCCTTTAATCCCTTAATAGAAGTATAATAGCTCATGTGAGAATCGTCTCAGGTAGTCAAGAGGTGAAGTTCATACTTGAGGTCACGACCAAGTCAGTCCATCATGGTCAACTGTTCCAAGGGGTCGATACAGTTGGTGCACCTTTGTGAGAAGTACAAAGTAGGTGTACAGTATATCGCGTGAAAATTCAACTGCATCTGGAGGCCTACAAAAAGCTGAACATGAGCACCACGTAGATGAAAGTGTTGGATATAATTTTAGAGTAAGGTTTAATTGAAATTTCATAAGGAGAGGAAAAAGGTAGGTCCTGAGCCTGAGGGCCAAGGGAGTTGGTCGTGTGGATGGCTGGGGTCTGGGAGATCCAGCCGTTGACCCCCCCCCATTGAGTATATGCTAAGGGGTTTTTTTTCCAGAAGGGCTTGGCTTATCAAGAGAGAGAGAGAGAGCGTGAATAACAGTGAAATGAGAGGGGCTGGAACAAGTCCATGAAGAATCTTAAAAACGCTGTTGATCTTGCAATAGACTTGCGACTGGACTTTTGAGCCAGTGGCATGAGCTTAAGACTGGGGTGATGCGGTCTCGTTCATGGATGAGGCATGAATAATTTGGGGATATGGACGGTGAGGTATTTGGGACAGTCGAGGATGGAGTTTGTCGAAGTTCAAGGCGACAGGCAGTGAATGCATGGATGAGCCTCGGCAGCAGATGGAACAAAATGAGTGATGTGAGGAATATTGCTTCGAAATATTAATCCATGCAGAGCTGACATGTAGGAGAACGACAGCGCGAGGTCCATGATGACTGTAAGGTTCACGCTCTTTGCTCGCATGATGGCCATTCAGGAGGTGCACATGACGAGAATGACGGCTAAAAGAGTGGGTGCATGTCATGAAGAAATTACTTAAGAGCTTGTGCAATTGTAATGACGACTTGACACTTCTCTTGAGATGGTACTTTATTTAAGATACATTCACTTGACATCAAGCGGAGATCCCACTGCAACAGCCTTGAGTATCCCGCGCATCTCCCTTATATACCAACCGAGGCCACGCCCCCTTCTCCATTCTCGCTGACTGGACGCTCACACCACCGGCAGACTCCACCGTCCTCTTCCGTCACCTTACCACGCTCCTTTCTCGAACATTCTCTTAGCCACCAGTCCCTTCGCACTCACAACTTATACCCCTGTCATTACCTCCCGTGGCTACTAGTCCCCTCACACCGCATGCAAGCTCTATTCTCATTACACAATTATGACAGCAGAAGACTTGCTGTGTACATGTATTTTCCCAAGCAGAAGTTACTTAATCATATCCTTTCCCCCATTTAAATGTATTGAAATAATGGGTGAACTTAGTGTAGTGGAGATGACTAGTGGTACACATGTTATTGACAGCATCACTCAGATTAGGGTATTTTGTGCAGTGGATAGGCACCAACAGCCAGCAATAACCATGATGCTCAGCATTGTTCTGTGCTTGCTGACTGCGAATTGTGCAATATACTTAAAAATAGCATTTGTAAAATCATGCCATTATTAAAGGTTCTGTAGAAGGCATGTGTGTCTGCCCCAGACATTTTTCTGCAACATGCAGCGAAAATGGGACTTTGGGCTCAAAATGGGGGTATAAGCCTGCCTTTATACAACGAGTGAACTTATCTTTACCCAGCATTGAACTTCCCATTACGCAATACACAGTAAACATACATTTTAGACAAATTAAGTCCCCAATCTACATATTGTTCATAAAATGTCTTGCATTTGTCATTAACCAGTTTAACTGGCTGTGATGTTTCCATCCTACCTGCCGATGTGAGCAGTTATTTCCAACTCTCTGAGTTACATTACCAGGTTAAATGTGTTTACATTAACAGGCTGAATGTCTGACTAACACAGCCACCGTTGTGGTGGTTCTCTTACATTGACATGCTAATCTCTCACAATACAATGGCCACCTCCACAGCTTCGTAGTCGTGGAGGTATATCAGCTCTCCGATCTTGAATTTAAGCGCAAATTCCATCTCTAGCCCCGCCCACTTACCCTTGGGCTACACCCATCTCAAACCTATATAACATCCTGCGTCAGCAGCTCTCCGATCTTACATTGACATGCAAATTCCATCTGTAGCCCCGCCCATTTACCCTTGGGCTACACCCATCTCAAACCTCTATAACATCCTGCTTCAGCAGCTCCCGTTATATTGTTTTCCTGCCTCAGCAGCTCTCCTATATTTTTTCACCTGATGACGATTGCTTATATTGCGATTGAAACGTGATATTTTTATTTTTTTATTATTTTTCTATCTATGTGGCTTCACCGAAAGACCCAAAAAATACTGATAGTAAAATTTACTTTCGTGCATTATTGAAAATGGCACTCGATTCTTACGTGTGGATTTCAGTTAAAGAAGTAGCATTTTTCATTGTATTCTGTGCCCTGTCAATGCAATGGCTGAGTGAAAAGTAATTTGTGAAATTGTGCATAGACCGGCCCAAGGGGGCTGGTGGCCAAAACATGCGGGATCGGGCCACCATCCGCCGCCTCAACATGTACAGGCAGAAGGAAAGGAGGTACGGCCCACACTGAGTATACATGACATTCAGTAACTACATCAACTTTGTGCACAGCAGTGGACACAACACAGAGTGCAACACTTTTCAGTAAAATCCTGCACATGCTGGTTGATTGAAAGAAACATGCTTGTAATACTTGTAATAAATGGCAACATTGCTGGCAGCAATTCAACCACTTTTTATTTGTGCTACATGTTTTTACAGAATAACTGAATCTCTACTTCATACAAATTATACATAATGTTCCCGCACCTCCGATAAGCACAGTTGGCTATGTACAGTGCAAAAGAAGTTAAACGTACAGATATACTGTTTTTTTGTCCTAGCTAACATGCTCTGACAAATGTTTTCCTCTACTTGATTTTAAAGTGGATCATTTATTAAACAATGAAAGCAAGCATTTGGGAAAATACACTGGTGTGTTTGGGCAATAATGTGTAATGTGTATGTGCATTGCCTCAGGAAGTTGGTCACATGACCAAGTACTCTATGCCTATTTAAGAGCCCCTGTCAGAGGGGGGCCCAGAAAATGAATATCTTACAGAGACGATGGCTGCCTACACCTGTAATTCTGTGTGCAGCACACGTGTATGTACCTCAAGTCTTCTAATTAACACATTCCTGTGGAGGGAGCTGGTAGGAATGTTGGGTTGCTCGGTCAATGGACAGGGTCAACGGTGGCATGGTGTTTTCCGCAAATATGCCCGACTGTGAGGGCGGGCACAAGCCAGCGTGAGTAGGTTAAACGTTGAGTTTTATAAGGGCACCACGGGGTGACCAGCCCCTCCCCACCCAGCCCCACCCCACCCAGCCCCACCCCTCCCACCCCCCACCCAGCCCCTCCCCACCCTCCCCTCCCCACCCAGCCCCTCCCCACCCACCCAGCCCCTCCCTACCCTCTCCACCCAGCCCCACCCCTCCCACGTGGACAGACATCCACAGACATACACGCTTCCTACCAGTAAAACACCATGTTAGCCTTATACGAGTTAATGAGTGCTTTTGTGTCTGCATATGGGATACAACATAAACATAACCATAGATTGGTAATGGTTTGCCACCATTGTAAGAACATGTATACAAATCCAAAAAGCACTGCTCGACCAGAACCCTACAAATAAGTAGCAGTGATGGTTGCCCTGTACATAAACAGGGCACCACGATGTGGAATTCCCACTTCTACCTCAGGGCTGCTTACAGACAAGTACTGCCCCAATCATTTCAGTAAAGAAGCACCTTTCTCTTGTTGTGTAATAGCAATGTTTATTTTTGTTTGAAATGGTTTACCTGCAGGATTATCACTGATATGTACTGTCATTTTTTTTCCACTTAAAAGGAACAATTTTGGAAAGGTGATAAAGCGGTTGCCTTACCAGTCGGAGGTGGCCTCTGGAACTGTTGCCAGAGTGGAACCAAACAGAAAATGGTTTGGTAAGTTTTTTTTCAACCAAGTTGTTTTTAGCATTTTGAGTCATTCATGCGTGTATTTTATTTGTAGTGGTTCTTTATGAATCTTTAATTGGATTGGATTGTTTTAATATGATTTATCCCATGGGCACTTGGTGTATGAATGTGTGCTTAGAATGCACCTGCCCATTAGCACGGTTGGCTACATACGGTGAAAAAAAAGTTCAACATAGTGTGATCAACCACGTATGAACATACACCTATTTGGTAAAAAAAACACTGTTAATCACACAAGTCAAAAAAAGTAAACAACATATTAAACATGTATTTGGAGCTTCCGTGACTGCAGGAATTACTATGTTTTTTCGGTAAAGTCACGTAGAAAGAAAATGAATTAAATAATAGAATAAGACGTTTCGATTGCAAAACAAGCAATCGTCATCAGGTAGAAAACAAACCTAGTGAACTTCG